AGACCATGCAGCTGCTGGGACATAGCCCTCTGGGTTTCTAGACTTTAAGGGGCAAACACGCATCGCTCTAGAGAAGTTTTTGATGTTCATACAAATAAATCTGAAAGGAACCTTAAGAACCAATTTCAGAGGATATAAATATTTCCTCAGCAATTTTCTGAGCCTCATTCTGTTAGCACCACCTTATAAACCACCAGATCATGCCTCCCATCCTGCAGGGTGGTGCCATCTGGGTTCATCAGCTTCACGAAGGACACCCCGAATGCTCGCTCCGATTTATCTCTGGCTGAAAAGACAGAAATATGTGTCTCAGCAGTGCAGAAAGATATCAAGAAGTGATGGCTATGATGGTCGATTTCACATTTTGCTCTGGGGGATGATGTTCAATCATGCTATAACCAGCACAATTCAGCAAGCTACACGATAAATCATACATACTGTGCGTGTCACAGGCTTCTTAAAGAGAATATTTCCCAAACTGAAACCTTCTGGCACTTCCAAGTATGCTCCCCTCCCTACATTTGCAAATGAATGAGACCAGCAACCACTGGATTCTCTAAATCAGAAATGTGGGTGATATGACTCAACCCTCATGTCAACTCCATATAGTGAATACCTCTGGAGCCCGTGCATTTTCTCTCCATCTCTCTGTTCACACCCAAGTTCGGGCCACCCTCACCTCTTCCCTGTCTTTCTACAAGATCTTCCTGACCAGTCTGTCTCCAGTTCTTATCCACCCATCACTTTCTCTACACTACAGTCAGAGATTTGCAAAATCGAATCTAATCAGGTCAACCACCTTGCTCCAGAACACTCTCATGAGGTCTCCACAATCTTTCTCCTTCCAAGATATGAGCTCAGGTGCCAGGAGAAGTGGGTATGTGTGCTCTGTGGCATTTGGGGTGGAGGATTTAGCCTCTCAAGGAAGCAGAGTACCTCCCTCTGGATATTTAGGTGCTGGCCTCTGGGCTTACTGTGTCCACTACTTGGATGTCGATGGTGGGGATAACCCATGGCCTGTTCGCACCACAGGCAAAAGGTCTGCTGTGACTGATGTGTCCCCAGATTGGCTGAGCAGTAACCCACTGTATAATTATACTACAGTTTGTCCATTCTCCTTTAGATGACCATCTGGGCTACGTCTAATATGAGGGTATTATGAATAAAGCTGTTGTAAACATATATCAAACCTCCACCACCACCCACAAAACACCTATTAATGGCTCTTCCATAACATGGCTCAAAAGGACCTTCATCTTCCATGATCTGGCTCCAGCTCACCTGGAACCAGACTGTCAATCCAGGCTCTATCACCGACTAGCACTGTAAACTTGGCCAAGTATCTAACCTCTCTGTGCCTCAGTTTACGTATAAATGTAGATAAAAGTAGTGTGTACTTTATCAGATTATTGTGAATATAAACAAGATAGTGTATAAACAGAGCTTCACTTAGTGTGTGCTACAGACCAATAAGGCTTGATAAATGCTAGCTTAGTATTATGTAGAATTATTAGTATTATAAAATTGACAATATTTGACTATTTATTTGCTGATATATGAGTATTTGATATTGACTTACAAAATGGCAATTCACATGGTTCGACCTAATATTATGATTGCTCGCCTGCTCCCACTTCAGACTTATTGAGCTCACTCTGCTTTTCAAACACATTTCTCCACTGTCACCCTTCACTGGGCTAACTTCTACTCACCTTCAGTCCAGCTAAGATGTAGGAAACCTTATGCATCAGTCTCCAGGCAAGGTTAGGAGCTGTGCTCCATGCTCCCTTACGGCACTGCTGCTATATCCCTTATCACGCTGTCCTGAACTTAATCACATGTTTTCTTGCTCATCTTCCTATCTAGACCACAGAGACTCTTCAGAGCAGTAGCCCTGTCCCATTGGCTGTCACATACCCAGGGCCTGGCCTGCAGTCTGGTACGTAGATGGGCCCAATACATTCAGTTTGGAATGAAGAATTGCATTTTTATGCAGTGCTGAAGGAGAACAAGACACTGTAGAAATTTTCTGATCAATCTGAAAACAATCAATTTTCTTCTCTGTTCACACTCTGAAGCAGCCATTTTATGAACTGTAATCTAAGACTTGACATAGTTCTTTCATGAGAAAAATAGTAATTTGGGGCAACAAAAGGTTAAACAGTTTCAGCTTAAATAGTTTTCTTGCTGCAGGACTTTGTAGCCTTATGGCAGCACACAGTGTGACTGTCTAAGAGAGAGAGAAAATACACAGCACTTCTCAACCCTATTCGACTGTGAAATTCTTTTTTGTCACAGAGCATCTATTAGCATCTTACAAAACTTTAGTATTCACAGAACACATCTGGGTTAAATTCTGATACAGAATAATAACATAGATCTTGAAAGGCCAGAAAAATTCACTTTTTCTGATTTCCTTAGCACCAAGGAATTCTGAAATAAAGATGCCAAGTATCTAGTTTCCAAGTATCTAGTTCTCCAGACCCCCAAAAGCACTATCAAGCAAGAGTAAATATGTTTTTTATGGAAATTTTGTGACTCTCCTAATACTTACATTCCTGAGACGATCGGTGTCGAAAGGTAAACCTTATATGGCAGCGAGTAACCTCTTCTATAGCAATGGATACCTGCATAATAAGAATAAATTAATAAATTAATAGTATATTAATATTTTGCACTCATAGTCATTTTACAGAATTAGGCTCATTGTTAGCATTTTCTCACAGCACTAATTCCTATAGAGTGAGATCTGGTGGTAGGTTTCATTCAAATGCGGTTTAGCTTTTTTCAAGCTAAAGATCTCAGGAGAAGATTGTCTTTGCTGTTTATCATAGATGCTGAGAATGGTGATATTACAAGTTTCTAGTATTTTCTCAAGTATGAAACAAGAAATACTTCAGAGGCAAACAATCATCACTTTGAGGTCTATATAGGACCTTTCAGAATGCAAGGTATATATATATATTCTGTGGTAATAATTCGGGTCTGAAACAGAAGGAAAAGGTATATACTGGGGACAATGAAGCTTTTTGCTGTTTATATAAAGAGGGGCGACAACGGCAGGAGGCAATGAAAAGAGCAGAGAATTTGTGGCCGACAGTTAAATAAACCCTGGCATGATTATATAATGGAATACTATGCAAGTATTAGTACATTTCTGAAGAACTTTTAATGCTTCAAGATAAGTATTTTTTAAAAGCACAATATAAATTTGTGTAAACAGCATAATTTAAAACATATGAAGTACATAAAGCTGAGGGAAAGTTACTTCTGAATTGAGGTATCGATGCAAATTCTTATTTTCTGAGTTTTATATGGAGAGCTCGTAAGACTTTGACAATCGGAAAGAGCTGATGGAGCCTGGGATTCATAAAAGTTGGCTCTAATTTAGGCTCTGACACTAATCACTACAGGACCTTGGAAGTCACTTAACTTCTTTGATCCTCAAGCACCCAATCAGAAAGGGCATTACAACACTGAGTGGTTTCGTCGCAGGGCTATGGAGGGGCTCACATAAGGTGACTGATCGGAAAAGCACTTTGGAATGCGTAAGACACATATTTAAATTAAAAAGAGGCCCAGAAAACTTGGTTAGAGACCAAGAAGGAAAAGATGTTAGGCAACTGCTTGTAGCGTGTGAGAACATTTCCACTTGGTTGTGGACCATCTTGGCAGCCTATTCACATCATTACAACCACAAGCCTCTCTATTCAAATTTCCACATATTTATGAATGAGAATGTTATTTAAGAATTCTGAGTTTCTTCCAGATAAACATGCTTATACAGAATTATAATCATTAATCCATTTCTTATTGGCTACCATAGGCAACCTATCTAAAACTTCAGGATAAAGTAGGAACGAGTTGTGGGCAAAAAAGAAGAAAGGAATCTAAATGAGGTTTAATGTATGACAGAGTATTCTCACCTTGACAGTCTCATACCAACAGGGCTGCTTGACTTGGTAATAGACTACTGACTTGTACTCTGAAATGCCTTCATATCCAGCGCCAGGGTGAATTGCTTTCTTCGGATGGAAAGAAAAAATTAGGAGTGGATAATATTATCTAGAATAAGAGTTCCCCACACATCTCGCAAGAGCCCTCTGCCCTCCACACAGCCAGCACATGCCTGACACTGCCATCCACAAGCTGAATATATTTGGCGGGTGAGTCTGTACCAATTTATTTGAGGGTCTAAGTGTGGAAGTTGCTAAGAGATCCACCCAGCATCCTCCTAACACTCCTCTTTGCTGCAACTTTTATTCTCTCTTCCTTGCCCTGCCACACATTCTTCTTTCTTTCCTCTTCTTTTCTCTCTCCAGAGGCCCGGTGGGAATGGCCGGGGGGGCTACAGCGCATGTACAGATGTGCTGCTGTGTGAGGTCCTGTCTACTCTGCTTTAAGCACCTGGGGTACAGCATGTTCACTAAAACTTAGAGCTATGTCTCCTCCCAGCAACGAATCACTGAGTGCAGAATCAGGTCTCAATGTGGGCACTTCCCTAGTTAGCAAAGCTGTGAAATGACTGACCAGATGTGTACTTAAACTGCTAGTGTAACTCAATAGCATGAATAAACCACTCCCATACCGCGGCCCACAGCATTTTGTTTGTTCCTTGAACACAGAAGACGACCTGACTTTGTCAACTGTTTCCTTCACAGATTATAATATCCATGGGGAAGTGACAGGGCTGTGTACTTATTTGCCATCAAGCACCGATGCGATGAGGCATAATGGTGAGCTGAGTGAACTGAGAGCTTGATTCTTGGATTCCAAAGTGGGTAACTACAGCTCTTACAGATGAGCCAGATGTCAGCCGAGACTATGAAAGTCTCCTGCTATCCTCTCTGACGTCAGAATCAAGACTCACTTCTTCTCTGCATGGACAGAGCGCCGTCAGCTTTGGAGGAACTCCAGACTGAAAGGAAGGTTATGTGGATCCATTCCCAGCTCCACCCCTAACTCTTGTGTTTCCGAGGAAACGATTTATCCTTTTGGGGCAGTGGTTTCCTGATTACTAAAACAAATGAGTAGAGGTAGTTGACCTCTAACCAAGAGCCTTCCAGTTTAACAGCTCTCTAATGGGCGTGTCCCCTTTGGCTCTGCTTATTTAGGTGGAAGAAATGGGTGCCTTTCAATGCCTTCTGGGCACACATGCCACTGCACTCAAGCCCCAGGGGAACCGAACAGGCTTGAAAGTGGCTAAAGATTTTGAAAACGATAAAGAACCTCTGATCAGAAGCATACACATGAAATCATTAGTGGCTTAAGATATTTTCCAGCACAGGAGAGATATGAAAATAAGAGTCTAAAGGGGTTTATTAGTAAAACTGGTAATTACTAATCACCAATCTAACAGGCTTCATATATTTTCCTTATGAAAAACCAAAAAACCAAATGCACCCTAATGTAGAGAATAATTAACACTAGGCTGAAAGCCCCCCATTACTGTAAAGAAGTGCGAGATGGCAGTGGGGTTTCCGGGTCCCGGTGCATACCTCCATCATGTTGCCCTCCTCGTCATACACAGACATGGTCACCTCCACGTTCTTCGGTGTCTTCTTCTTCCCTTTGTCAAACTCTCCATGAATTAGGGTGACGTAAATATCATTCCGAACATCTCCTGCAACACGACAATGCATCCTGTGAGTGGTACTGAGAGAAGTCACTTTTAATTTTTAGGATGTAATAAGATAAACTATAAGTAAAATATGAACTGCCAGATCTGACTTTATAGTGAACTATTCACACAGCAGTTTTTATATGTATTGTTCCCTTCAGCTTACCTCATTCTATTTTTCCATACATACCAAGATCTTTGAAGTATAGTTTTTTAAAAATGAACTCTTTTTTGACAGTACTCCTGTGTTCTATTTATTAATAACTGCTGTCTAATAGTAAGTACACAATATGCTTTATTAGGTTATAGTGGCAGATTTTTTTTTCAGTCATGCACTGGAGACTGTGATATTTTAACACATCTGATATTAATGAAGGCTAATGTTTACTGACTGCTCACTATGGGCTGTTGTGCAATATTTATTTAATCCATATAACAATCTGATGAGATAGATACTCCTTCTTAAAGACCCACAGAATATTTTACATGTGGTTTTTACCAACATCGGAATAATTTCTGCTCGTCATATATTTAGTTAACCAGCATAAAATTTTAAAAATGAATTAATTAACTAGTAAATGTGTAGCTCCTCCCCGGCTCCCCATAGTAAAGAAAAATTTTAAATGTTATCGTGATACATAAATAAAACCTAGAACGCAGGAAAGGCATACCAAGTTCTTGGATAGAAAGACTCAGTATTGTAAAAATGTCTCCAAAATCTGTACTATATTATACTGCCTCCCATTGTAAAAAAAAAAACCTTATTGCACTACAAAAAAATTGGGGTGCATATTTAGAACACATCATTTTCATCACTTAACTGACTGGAAAAAAATTAAGATACTGCTCAGAATTAGGGAGAGTGAAGAAAAAAGGAGCTTATTTATATATTACAATTTGAAATCTTAACTGATATACTTTTTGACAATGGAGAAGTTGAGAGTTTGTGTCAAAAGCCTTAGCTGACACAGCAACTTCATTGGTAGTGTTTGACCAAAAGTATCAAAAATGTGAGCAATGATAATTCATAATGATATTCATTGCGACATTACTTATAACGTGAAAACTTGGAAATATCCTCAATTTCCAACCACAGGTGGCTGAGATAATATTTATTTATTCATTTAAAAAATTGACTGAGCACCTACTCTGTACCAAGCACTGTGCTACGTGTTTGGGAGACAATGGTGAGCCAAAATCCAGCCTCTCTCTCATACCGCTTCAGTCTAGTGGGGGAACAGAAGCATTATGAAATAATCACATGATGAAATGCATCATTACAAATCAAGGAACAGGCCAGGCTCTGTGAAAGTATCACATTAAGTCCCAGCCTTGTCTGGAGGGTGTGGGAATCTTTTCTTTGAGCTGATACTGGAGAGGTGAGAGCAGAGGAAGTGAGAGAAGCATGTGCAAAGGCCCAGAGGTAGCAGCCATAAGATGGAAGTGTTCACAGGGAGGGGAGATGAGGTACAGAGACGAACAAGAGAAAAATGTCTCTGAAGCTTGTGGGCCAAGTAAAGAATGTGTATCTTCATCCTCAATATAAACAGAAATCTTCAAAATGTTTTTGGCAAGGAAGAAGGGGATGGAATCAGGTGGGCTTGCATAAAAGATCACTCACGCTACACTGTGGTAAAGAGGATATGAGGTAAGAAAGAGCAGAAGCGGGGAAACCAGTTAGGATGTGATGGCAGTTGTCCCTGGACAAGATGACAGTAGCCACAACTCAGGTAGTGGCAACAGAGATGGAGAGATGGGGATGCCATCGAGAGGCCTTTCAAAGACAAAACTGGCAGGTCTTATCCACGAGTTTTGTTTGAAGTGTAAAGGAAAGAGGGGGGGTCAAGGGTGACTTCCAGGCTTCTTGTTTGTGCAACTAGATGGATGGGGGGGTGCCACTCTCTTAGATAAAACACAACAGAAGAGCCAGGTGTGGATGGACAGAGTTACGAGTTCCAAATGAGGATTCTGAGTAAGAATTAACCAGTTAAAGAGAGAAGAGTAGATGGCTGGAAAATGAGGGTGCTTCGAGTCAGGGGTGGGAACAGTACCTACTCAAGTCCTAAGGCAGAAATCAGTTGGATCTATGGTAACAAACTTCAGAGGAGGGGTCCTGGGGTGAGAGATAGGAATCTGAAGGCAACTGTCATACAGAGGCCAAGTGACTGGACGAGACCATCTATGGGGAGAATATAGGTGAGAAGCAAAGGAGGCCTGGTATAAGCTGAACTGTGTCCCCTTAAATTCTTACATTGAAGTCCTAACCCTCAGTACTTCAAAATGTGATTGTATTTGGAGATAGGCCCTTTGAAGAGGTGATTAAGGTAAAATGAGGTCATATGTTGGGCCCAAATCCAATATGACTTGTGTCCTTATAAGAAGAGATTAGGACACAGATAACACACAGACCAAGGGGTGCCCATGAGAGGACACAGCAAGAAGGTGGCCATCTATAAGCCAAGGAGGGAAGCCTCAGAAGGAACCAACCCTGCTGACACTTTGATCTTTGACTGTCAGTCTCTGGAACTGTGAGGAAATAAACTGCTGTTGCTTAAGCCACTAGAGTGTGGAATTTTGTTATGGCAGCCCAGGCAGAACTAATACAGGGCTTAAGGACTAAATACCGAGGAACTTTAACCTTTAAAGGTGAGGTAGAAGATGATAAGGTGGCAGAAGAGTTCTAGGAGAGGCCTCAAGAGAATGGAGAAAAAGAGAAGAGTATGAGGTCACCAATGAGGAGGGGGAAATGTGATCAACAGTGTCACATGCTGCCAAAAGACCAGAGATGAGCATTAGGCTAAGAAATATCCTTTGGACTTAGTGACACTGCAACGTTTGGTGCCTCTAGTGACAGCCCTTCTGCAGCAGCTGCAGGGTAGCTGGCAGGTATGAAAACAGAGACAGTAAATAATCGCTTCCAAGAATCTAGCTGAGAAGATGAGGGCAGAAAGTAAGAGCGTTTTGGCTAGAGGGGAAAGTGGGGTAGAGGGAAGAGCTTCAGATGCATCTGGAGCCTGTGTAAACGAGGAGCTACAAGGTGAGGAACTTTGGTCTAAATCTCTATTTCTCAAACCCGGCCCATTACCAGAATCGCCTGGGGAGCCGTGGTCTTACTTACAAACTAAATCAGAGTTTTTGAAAAAAATCTGGGAATCTGTATTTTAATGTTTCCCAAGTAATTCTAATTAGGCGATCCAAGACTAGCATTTGGGAACCACCAGCCTGGATGATTTTTAAAGCCTGTTATAGCTCTGGCAGTCTATGAACCAATCCTATAGCTATAAAGAATCTTTCTGAACAGATTTCAAAGACAAATTCATTTTGTCCAGAAAATAAACTTCTCTACTTCATTTTTTTTTTCAGATTTCTGTCTTGCTGTAGCAATAAAACTGCTTTCAGTTATAGCAATATTACGAATACTTATTTTTTAAACAAGACGACAAAACATTTTCCCAAAGTGTTGATGAGTATGTATTAGGGTGAAATGGTTCTGGAAGGCAGATGAGAAACTACCTTCTTTCCTGAGAACTGGTAATTTCCACTTTATAGCTCCTTTACTCATTCATTCCACAAATATTCTTTTAATACCTACTGTGTGAAGACAAAGTACGCAGTGACAAATTATTACTGCTCTTTAATCTCTCAAAGGAAGAATAATATCACGTATTACTTTAAAAAAAAAAACCCTGAATTTTTACGTAATAGCTTCATTTTCTAGAGTTTTTCTAACATGCTCAAGATTCTTTATTTATATATTCTATCCATCTGTGTATAAAATATATATACTATATTCTCATTTTATTATTTATTTGTAACATATACACTTTATATAATACGTACATGTATTATATAAAGTTCCTTGAAGGAATGAACTCCTTCTACTATGAAGATTAAGAAATTAAATGGGCTAAATCAGTAAATTCAGGAGCACACATATGCAGATCACCAACATGGGGTGGCAAATAAGATGAAACTAAGGGAACTGCAGAATGTTTACATTCTTGTCACCACAAGTTATGGGCAGCGAACAGAGCAGAAGGTCCAGGTGGGGCTGAACTGAGCGGGCACCTCGCTGGAGTATCCCTGGCAAGGAGACCTCAACGCTGGTGGTGACATTGTGAGAAAAGGTACAGGCGAATGAGGCAGATTATTCTCAGGGTGAGGAGCCCGGCCTTCGTTCGTTGTACGGCACAATAGTCTAGGAAAGCATTGCAGAGGGGGCTTGTGCAGAACATACGGGAAGAGAGAGTGAACAGAAAGTTTTGAATTACATTTAAAAGTGTTATTGTGGGCTTGCACACAGAGAGTGAACAGAAAGTTTTGAATTACATTTAAAAAGGCTTGCACATTGGGTAGGTTTTTAAGGTACGGCAACCTTGTTTGTGTCTCCCACTGTCTTGATACCACGGAATGCAGCTAACTAAATGAATCTATGGATCCACATTGTTTCAATTGTCTTGTTAGAAGTAACTGCTTCACAGAAGGAAGAAGCAGAACAGGTGAATCAAGCAGAGTGTTTACCTGGGAGTATTATTTCAGGAAAGCCCATTTTTCGGGCAATGGCTGTTGATCTATCCACCAAGTGTGAAAAATTCTTCTGAACCTGCGTGAGGTCACCTGGCAATAGCTTCAAGGATACCCAAAGTCCTTCAAAAAAAAAAAAGATAAACTTTTAGTTCTCTGTATGACCCATATAATACACACACGCACAAATACTGAGAATATGTGTTGTATCGATATACAGATACTGTATTATAAAGATGAAAATTCTTCCCCAATTAACTTATAATTTTAATGACACTCCTATTAAAATCACAACAGGACTTTGAGAATTTGACAGAGATGTGAACAGATGTTTACTTTGAGTGGAAAAAAGTAAAGATAGCTCCTAGCAGACACCAAAATGCTGTAAATCTATAGTAATGTGTGCTATTAGTGGTAGAAGATATATAAATCAATAGAAACAATGAGGTTAAGTACAGTGATATATGATAATTTAACGTATAGCAAAAGAATAACAGATCATGAAAAAAATCATAAATGTGCTGGAGTAATTTCTTATTACTTAGAACAGAATCGATCTAATTTCTCACCTCACATTTTCATTAAAATAAATTCCTAATATTAAAAAAGTAAGTAAAAAAGATAGAAAATTACAAGAAAAAATGCATAGTTATTAAATCTCTAAGAATGAACCATTTTTCTTAGAGAAACAAATGAAATCATAAAAGGAAAAGAATTATATGTGTACTAAGTGAAAGTATTGATATTCATATGAAAGTAAAAGGCATACTACAAAATGATGAAATACTTTAAAAATTATAAATTTATACTCATTAGAAGAAAAACATTAAGGTCCTCACAAATAAATAGGACATGAATAGACAATCCATAAGGGAGTACAAGAAATTTATAAATATTTGGCAAACCAAAAATTGAAAAACGTGTCCCGCATAGGTTATGTTCATTTACAAACTGCTTATAGAAACTAAGAAGGAAAACTTTAGAAAATTCATAAATACATATGACGACTATATAATTAACCACTGAGTTTTTTTAAATACAACACAACTATGGAAGTCAATTTTTTTAACTTTTAAACAGGTAAAGGTTTCAAAATATCAATTGCAAAGTGAGCAAGATGGTAATTAGTACCCATGGGTAGAAATCTATGAAAAGCAATCTGGCAATACATACATTTCGAGGTATAAGCTTCTTCTCGTGATTTGACCCAGAAACCCTACTTCTGGGAAATTTTGCAGGAAGGTTGCCTTAAATATGGAAAAAGCTGCAAGTTTAAAGATGGTTCTAGCAGAGCTGTTTCAGTTTATAATGGTGAAAAATTAGAGAACACTAAGTGTTTACATAGGGGATTTCATTTTCTTAAATCTAAGCAATAGACTATTATGCAGCCACAAAAAGTATCTATGAAGAACATAAAGACATTTGAAAAGTGCTTGTTTTATTAAGCAGCAAGAGAAGAAATGATATTTTTTTCAGTTCTGTTAAAAATAATTACACATACAAAGCAATCTATTTAGTGTAAGGGTTTTCCACTCTAACAAATTACATCCTAAGGTTAGAAGTTCCAAAACAGAAAGATATTTAGTTATTTGTTTTGATTCTTGAATGATTCCTCATGTGTCTTTCCCACTCAGAATAATTGTGAATACATGGAAACTAAATGTCCTAAAAATAATGTGCTTCCTGACTGCCTCCACTTTGGAAGACAGTTACAGGTAGTAGGAAAAAAAAAAAAAAGTGATTCAATCTTCAAAATTATACAAAAATCATCACCATCTTGGTATTTGAATTTAAAATGTTTAACGATTTCCCCTTATTTCAATTTAAAATGCAGTTTAAATGAGCAGAACTTCTTTTAGTTAAAACTGTGTCAACAGAACACTATATGGAGATACTAAAAACAACTAAAAATGTTTTGCTAGATAGCCCATTGTTTTATATCAATACATATTTATTTGTATTATTTTGGTCTCCTTGCTTTCAATGTTAGGAAATGTAACAGGAAAAACATATTCAGATGTAAAACATAACTATCCTCAAAATTCTGTGTTTTTGTGCATTTACCTAGAGTCAAGGATTATAGAGTAGACAAAAGTGAAGAAATTCTTGGGATAAAAATTTGTTCCATCGAATTTACAGAACACAGCTGTAATCCAATACAGTGTTGGATGCATTCTGGGTGTTCCTTAGTGTTAAATGCCTTTAGCAGGAAGCTGAGGTGGACAGTACCCGGCAAGGTCTGTTTTGTACCAGAGAAAGACAACGAAAGGGCAGGAGTCCAGGGACGCAGCTCTGAATGTCCCCGCCAAAGTCCCCTCCCAGCTGAGTACATAGCTGTGTACCTTGTCCTTTGTGATTCACTTCCTTCGCTGCTATCACTTTATTCAAGACTGAAGTGAGTGGCTCATTCTCCCCGATCACATGGGATGTTATCAGCGGTGACATGATTAGCTGCCTCTGCCGGATATAGGTTTCCATGGCAATTCTGGGAAAGTCAGAAATAAGAGGTGAGGGAAAAAGAGGACGTCTCCGTAGCACATGCTCAGATAGTGGTGGGTCCTACAGGAATGGTTTCGAAATATACGCACTAAACACACCTAACCAGAGGGCTCTATCTTTCCATTACTTTTCCAGTGGGTGCCTATCTTACACACCAAATTCATCTTGCAAATGACCTGGGGCAAAGAGAGGCAGGGGAACAAGAACGAACAAAACTGATGGTAAAGGTTAGCAACTAAAATCAGAGGCAATGGCTCGATACCCTTCACGAGTGGGAGAGGCTGCTGTAATGGGACTGAAGGACTGGGGGAGGTACAGGTGATGCGGCCTCCAGTTCTGGTTCTACTTGGCAGTGAGCTCTGCAAGTCTCCCCCACGGGCCTCAGTGTCCTCATCTGTAAGGAGATGGGCCTGATCATATGCTCTGAAGGTCCCATCTAGTGTCAATGCTCAATGTACAAGGGCACTATGCATGCACAAGCTTTTGGAAGGTGTTCTTAGATTCCCATGTGATGACAAACTATATTTAGGGCTGCAATGGCACAGGCACCAGCAAACAAGCTTCACCTCAATAACCACATCAGGCTGAGGTTCAGACAGGGTGACCAAAGAACCAAACACAGCTTCCATTCTATTGACAGCACAAGCGCTATCAGTAACTACGTAGCAGTCTGGTGCTGCACAATGGTCTCCAGTCTTCTCAGCTGTCATTTTGTTCTCTTGCACACTATGCAGGCCGGCTTTCTCTGCAGGGTTCAGATCTATATCCTCACAATAGCAGAAAACACACTGCAATATGTTACTGAAAAGTAGGCTTGCTATCATCTGAGTTTTCAAATGACTCTCTCTCTTAGATGGACTAAAAGAATACGCACATAATTCTCCTCATATAATACACCCTACCGCTTTTACAGTAAGAAAGCATCTGCCATAAATCTTAGAAGTTAAATGCCAGAGGCTGCGATTTGCATCATGAAAGCTTTACAGTGGCTGTTGGGCGTACAGTGAGTGGTAATCAAATAAGGGCTGGGCTCTTCTGAGACTCAAAGCATGCATTATTACACGGTGGGGACAATCTCAGGGCGCTCTGTTTCACCATGGCTGCTGGACACAGGCTGGTGCAGAAACTCATAGTCAAAGAAAGAAACACATCTCACAAGTGGAACGAACACAAAGAAATACATTTGAGATAACTTTCATATCTACAATGCTGCACCTATTATTTATATATACACGTATATGATATATCATGTATTTCATATAACTTTCACATCCATTAATGCTATTATGTATACACATACATATTATACATATAATGCTGTATAATATATATTTTACATGTATATATAAGATCTGTAGATGTGAAAGATATTTATATTTATAAGTATAACATATTTTATATATTTAAATATATTCATTTATTCTATATATTATATTCAACATTTATTAATATTTATATAAGATATACTAATATATTTGACATACTAATACATTTAATTGAATGTACTGATGTAAAAATATAGACTAGTTTAATATATTTATTAAATTTACTATGTAGCATTTATTTAATAAACTTAAATAAATATGTATGTATTTATATTGAAAGTATTCCAATACAGAAATTCAGAAATTTGAGTTATTTCATAATTCATATTACCACTAAATTACAGAAAATATTTAGCTCACCATGTTCTTGGAGGGTCAGTGTATAGGTGGTAGGATACTAGCTAAATAAGTATTTTAAAAATTATTAATAGCCTCTGGATGGAGGGAAGTACTACTTAGCATCAGCTATTTGTACTATTATATTTAGAAACTGGTCCAAAGATGCTGGACTTTAAATTGAAAGATAAGAACTTTTATATTTTAAATAATGTTACACATACACATAATATATATTTATTTTAGATAAAACAGAAAACAGGGTTAAACCAAAAAAGGGGCAAAATCACCTACAGTTACACCAACAGAAATAATCACTGATAATTAGGAAGTATATTCTTGGAAATATCTATATTTTAAGGATTTTAATGCACTGTAACAATTTATATCCCTGTTAAGTAACATGTTTCCTTATACCTACCAAACACTGTATATCATATATTTTTAAAACTCGGTAAAGCCAAAAACTAAATATAGTTGTTTACATTTCATTGATTCTCAATGAATTTATAGGCCATTTATTTGTATGTCTGTAATTTCCTTCTTATGGCCTTATGAACTTCTATTAATTCTTTATATATTAAGCTTTATCATTCTTTCCCATACATCTTACAAACACTTTATTAAAATTTTTTATGTATGAATTGTTTAAATTTTTTGTGGCCAAACTTATCTGTTTTTCTTTTTTCACTCAAATCTGTGGTGTCTGACTCAGAAAGGCCTCTCACACATCACTACTATGTAAAACTTCTATTTTCCTGTAGTATTTTAAGACTTTGGCTCTTACACGGATATGTTTAATCATTAGGAATTTACAATGGTATAAGCTGTGAGATGAGGTACTAACTTATGTTTCTTAAATAGTTAGCTAATGTTCTGGGTTTTTTTTACATAGTTTATCTTTCTCCACTGATTTATGATTGTGAAAATGACTTTAAAAGTAATTTAAAAAATAGTACGTTATTTATTATTAATAAAATATATATTAACTCGAATATCCTGGGGCTGGTTTCTGGAATTCTCAGATGATCATATTGACCTGTTCTGACAGTTGCAGGCTAGCTTAGACAATCACCTTCTGTCACTGACACAACTCATCTGTTAGAAGTCAGTCTAGCAATGTGCCTGCAGTCACCTAGGCCACCACCACCTGTGCATGAGGTGAGTGGAGTATGGCTGCTAGAGCCGGTCATGATGTTCACAGAGATATGTCTTCAGAGGTACAGGGATTGAGATTTGCTCACCAACAGTAACCACACAGCCCCAGCTCCTGAGCTCAGTACGGAGATCAACTCTAGTGGGGCTTATCAGGGAATTGTTGAATGTCCTCCCAGACTGGCTTTCCCTCCACTTGCGAAAACCCACAGATTAGTGAGTCCTCACTCTCACACCTCCTGAACCCTTGCTACTCCAAGTGTGGTCCCCAGACAAGCAGCAAAATCATCACCTGGTAACTTCTTAGACACACACTCTAGACTCACTGGATCATGTTTGGCATTCTAACAAGGTCCCAAGTGATTTATATGCACGTGACAGTTTGAGAAGCCCTGTGCTGTCCTATGTGATTCTTTGTCTTCCATGATACCTGTTCCATGCAGCCATAGTATAGATATCCTTTGGCATTTCTGACACTCACATGACACCATTCTCTGGTTTCTAGAGCAGATATAGATTTGCCCCTTAGGTTCCTTTGGCCATTTTTTAGAATCAGGAAAGTGTGGTTTACTCTCTTACATTGAGTCCAATATAAAGGACTTTGGTTAAACTCTTCTGTCAGCTCCTACCTGACAATCTTCCAGCTAGAGAGGCATTCCTTCTCCAACTGAGCAAACGGTTCCTAGCACCTGGCCCTGTGTTAACACACCATTCAAAGGGCTAATCCAGGTCTCAAGTCACCCCGGATAAATGCCAAAGTACTTACTGCTGAAAGGGAATAAAATGCTGCTTTTCTTCATCATCCACTCTCCCGTGTATGATATCGGTAATATCCATCACTAGGAAAAAGATAAACTTAAATAAAGAAACTAATTGCTTCAAGCCTCAGTGGGTTACTAAGTAAAATTACAGGATCAGTCACATAGAACACAGAGGGGGTGAAAGACACCATGCAGGGACATTTATTTCTTTGCCAACGAGGATTCCCAGTGTACCAGCTCAGCAGAAGAACAAATTAATTCATCAGGAGCTTCTGCAGAAGCTCAGATTTTCTCAGATAACTCTGTAGACTACTACCTTTTCAAAATTCTACAAGAACAAGTTGCTCAATTCTTAAGAAATTTGAGACCAGATTTCTTTTTAGTGAGCCTGCATTCAGAGACCCAGAGAACAGATTTTTTTTTTTTTTTTGGCAGGAGTGTCGATGGAATGAAAGACCTGGGAGAGAAACATGAAGTGGTTAGCTGTCTCTTCAATTTGACATTTTCTCACCTGGTTTCCACATAAATCAAGGGAAGCCAGGGCACCAGCAGCACAGACTAAAAGGTCATACAGTAATTTGCTTCTTTATGTATAAGAGCAATTAATAAAGTATTGTTCTAAGCCTACTGAATACATTGTATTATTTAAAGAGATGTTATCGTTAGCCCTACTTTATGAGATGAGGAAACTGAGCACAGCAAAGGTAAGTAACTTGCCCTAGGTCAGAAGTTTTAAGTGTTAAAGCCAGGATATGAACCCAAAAGTGATTATAGGGCCAAATCACTTCACCTAATGGTGCCCTGTTGTCTATAGAAATAGCCAGTGGGCCGCTGAAATCAGGTGGGGTCTCTCCAGCTGCTGAAATCAGGTGGGGTCTTTGGCAATTTATGGGTTAATAAATTACAATCTGGCCATAAAATACATGCTAACAGTCCACTCCCCAGATAACTTGTTTGGAGATTAAAAGAAATACTGAGATAGGAGACAATTCTCATTATGAAAAACTAGAAAAAAAGGAAAAGCCTTCTCAAAGTAACCCACATGACATAGTGTGTCAGGCTTAGGAAATAATAATGTTGGTAAAAAGAGGCTGTAGAAAGCAGGGCATGACATCAACTTGTTGTCAACTCTTAATAAAACTCTGCAAAAATCGTACAAAAAAAAAAACCCGCAAAATTTCTATTTGACTCTTCAGCCCGCAAAAAAAGGCAACTCATTTGTCAATGCCATATCTGGCTACTCCTAACCTCTGCTGATGCTCAGCATCAAGGCTCTGAGCAAAGCAAAGCAGTGTCCTCTCCTTCCCCACCATACTCAACTCCCTGAAAACACACACATGCGCGCTTGTGCATAATACAAAAGCAAGCAAAAGCTGCTAGCTTGCTGTTCTTCCAATCTCTTTGGCCCATTTTGAATGACAATAACCTTGAATATATCTTAAATCCTTAGATCAATAGATAGCCATGTAGATGGCTAAATAATCCTGGGCCACGATTCTTGCTTTTACAGAGATTTCATTTTAATTTTTTATGAGGAAGTGACGCTGCCTCCTGTGGTCAGAGACTGGCAGCCCTTGAGCAGCAGGTAGTTCAGGGGCTTGACCACATACATTCTCATGGGATACAGAAGCCACTTCATCACACACATAACTCTGGTAACGTGGAGTTTCCGGGCCCTTGTTCCAGGAGCAGAATTACGATATTTCACTGATGGCTTTCAAAACTACTTAGTGACCAAAATGTCAACGTAAGACCGAAAATATATTTCCTCAATTTAACAAACTACAGAGGAAAATGAGGTCCCCTTGGAGGGAGTGAGGGGTCTGATTTAAGCCAAGGACCCTCTACGAAAGCAGTTACAGACACAGTGGTGCCTTTGAAGAGTTAATTTCCCAGACGGGCAAACCACTTTCCAGGGAGAATTTTACTTGACCAAAATCAATGATCAATACGTGGCCGCAGGCAGGGAGGATATTCCGATAGTCACAAGGGAGGCTTTACTGAGGGCCTGCTGTGTGAAGACACTGTGCTGGGCACCGAGAGAGAAAGGAAGAAACTGGGTCTAGGTGAGGACACAGCGCCAAAAGAAAGAATAACTGGTAGACCCAGGCAGTAAATGCTGCGTGTCTGACACTAACAACCAGATTCATCTCCCACAGTCTCTGGGGCTCCCTTCCTCCCCTCACTTTCTTTTATTTATTTATTTTTACTGTGGTAAAATATATATAACATAAATTTACCATTTAATCATTTTCATGTGTGCAGTTCAGTGGCATTAAGTATACTTCACATTGCTGTGCAGCCATCACCATCATCTACCTCCACAATGTTTTCATCTTCTCAAACTGAAACTCTGTATCTATTAAATTCTAACTCCCTATTTCCCTCTGCCCTCAGTCCCTGGAAACCACCATTCTACTTTCTGTTTCTATGAATTTGACTATTCTATCCATACCTCATATAAGTGGAATCATACAATATTTATCTTTTTGTGATTGGCTTATTTTACTTAAGATCCTCATGGTTCATTCATGTCACAGCAGAGGTCTGAATTTCCTTCCTTTTAAGGCTGAATGGTAATCCATTGTATGGATATGCCACATTTTGTTCATCCATTTATTCACCGCTGAAAACCTGGGTTGCTTCTACCCTTTTGGCTATTGTAAATAATGCTACTATGTACATGGGAAGTACGAATATTTCCTTGAGACCTGATTTTAATTCTTTTGAATATACAACCATAAGTGGGATTGCTAGATCATAAGTCCTAGGTTTAATTTTTTGAAAATCTACCACACTGTTTTTCAGAGTGGCTGCACCATTTTACATTCGTTTACGGTCTTTCTATACCTGCTACTCCAAAAGGTCTTCGGAGTCCACAGGTGTGCTTTTTGCCCTCCTTCAGCTCCATGTGGCCCACCCGGACAATTTGACACACGAGGCTGATGCGGGGCCTGATGAGGTCCACACTGCTGAGGTCCTAAAGGGGCAGAGAGTGTGCAAAACAGGGTCACACTGTGTCACTCTGTCTCCTCCATTTCTCTTTTCACTCTACAACAGAGCACTGTTCATAGCATATTTCTTGATGCTGAAATATCAGAATGACTCCTCTCTTCCCTACCCACCCAAGAGCTATCATGGCATCAGAGAAAAATGACTATTCAGAGTGGGAACTTTTTTATTCCCCAATTCCTACTTCAAATTTATAAATCAGATCATAGTCAATCTAAAGTCTCTAGTTCATCTATTTAAGCCAGATATTTAAAAATTAGGATACTTGTCATTGCTACTTTACATTCTGCCAAGACATATCTGAGCACAGGATGCATTTCGGTGTCAAATAAAATTAAAACTTGCATGACCTTGATATCCACATGTACTGGTGATATTTCATTCCATCTTCCAAATAATTCTGTGAGGCAACTATAACACAGAAATTTACATGTACTGCTTTCTGTAATCATCCATCTGTTTTACAAGAAGGATTCATTGAGAGCGTCTGTGTATGTTGATTAATGAGAGAGGTGTAGATGAAATATATCTGTTTTTCTGTGGCTCATGTGCTACACATGTTTATATTCTTAAGAATGGGCGAGGAAACCCATGAATGAGCTCACAGATCTCATTCACTTTGACATCAGAAATAATTTAGTTGCATCTCAAATTATTTTCATGAAACAGCTGTCTAACGCCTCTTTACTGAATCAAGAATTACTCTTTTAACACCCATTCCAATTCCATTCTCTGTAATTTAGTTCTCAGGTCTCCAAGATAAGAATATATACCAAAGATAACATCGACCTTGAATTTCTACTATATTTGTAAGGCTTCTGTTAAGAGAAAGATAAAGGCTCCAGGTGACTGGTTATATAAATTGTGGCACACAGATATTATTTAATAATATGCAATCATTTACAAATGAAATTTCTGAAGAATATTTAATGACAAAGAATAATTACACATTCTATTTAGTGAAAACACTGGACATGAAATGCACATGTAAGAACCGAGTAGGTAGGAGGAGTGGGGGTGGGGGCAGGGGGTGAACAGCAGCTATGCAGAGCTGATTAGAAAGAAGATGGACCAAAGACTCAACGATACCTTTTTTTTCTTTTAACGATAACTTTTTTAAACAGGATTTTTTTTTTTTTTAAAATGTACACATCAGCTGATAATTGCCTTTTGACTTTAGGAAAAAAAATCACACATCTCAGAAATGAGGAAATACTCTGTGTGTTGGGGGAGGTTTTGGGAAGAGTTCTAAAAAGCTTTTTTTCTACTTCTGTCATGTGGTGAAGATATAGATGGGTCAGTGCAGGGATAGTCATCAGTCCTGGTTGTCCCAGGGGTGGGATGTTAATGAAAGGAACGAATAAGGCGAAATGAATGAATGAATGAATGAATGAGCCTGTACCAGGACCATTACTCCTTCCTATCACTTCATTTGGAACTCTATCTTAGACTTTGCTTTCTTCACTATAAGAATGATAAGAGTTCATGGAGATAAAACATGGATGTGCTTAAGGGAAAATAGAGGAAAGGAAGGAAGGATCTCTTTTAGATCTAGTAAAGCTGGGGAAACCTACTCATCCAGGCTTCTCAGAGCAGGTGGCAGCAGCTCTAAGGCACTTCAAGCACTGATGTCATAAAAAAGCGAGAGAACCCCAAGAAAATTCTTAGCCCAAGAGAAAGCGAGTCACCATGCCCCAAGCTCTAACCGAACAAACTTCCTCGCTGTTGATTTATACATAGCAGCACTCCTCCTACCTTGGAAAGAAATGCGGGGGAGGGGAAGGCCAGGGCACTAAATGCAAACAAAAAAGTCTAGATCCCGTCTGTGCTGAACTGTAACCTCATTCTGAAATGCTCTTCCCCTTAACTGCGTACCTCACTCTCTCATCAACTTCAAGTTCTTGCTCAAAAGGCTCCATCCCACAGAGTTCTGCCCTGACCCACCTATTTAAACAGCAATCCTCCCCGAACTCTGAAACTCCCAATCTCCCTGAAGCACTTATAATTTCTAACATTCTACACAATTTACTCATTTATTTGATTACTGTTTATTACTGTCTTTCCCATTTGGACAAAAGCTCCTTGAGCACAGGGATTTTTTTTCTGTGTTCAGGGCCCACATCAGTGCCTGGCATCTAAGAGGTGCTCGACAAATATTTGTTGAAAAAAATGAGTGGGCTATTCCTGCTAGGGGGATTAGGAAGATTTTTATTTCTATCATTTCACTTTGTATGTTTCCCATACATATGTTTATTCTGTGCATCCACTGATACCATAAACAAAGAAAATGATTAAACATAAGGTAGGACTTACAGTGAAGACCGCTTGGAGGTTATTAAGCTTCTCGATTTCCTTGGGCATCCCGTTACTGCCCCAACGAATTAGATAATTCTCACTGGTGAAGGGGAAAAATGATTGTTAATGAGGGGCTAATTGGGAATGAAACTGCCCACAGTATAGACTTAAAGGGTAAAAGAAAGGCCCAGAAAAGCTCAGTTAAATTCATCAGACAGCACACTAACGAATACTCTCTGGTCCCCTGGTTTTGGAGATGTGTGCCAAGCTCCAGGAGGCACACCTAGGATGGGCCCGTGACGAATACTCCTCAAGACAGGCACAGACGCTGAGTCTACCCGTTTCTGTCTGGGGTCTTTTTTCCATCTCTAATTCTTTGTCTAAAAGTTTCAGCTTTGCTGAATCAAGAATATAATTTTATAATAATCATTCTAAATCCATCCCCTGGAATCCACATCATCACACTCAAATACAATCTCTAGTTTAGAAATAAACCATTTGTCGGTAATTACTTTTAACCATCTTCTCAAAAATAAATCTGTTTTCTTAGCTTCTCAGGAGTAATGCCACTACAGGGTTCAGCAAAGACTTTTATCATTTTTATCATTTTTTAGAGCAGTTTTAGGCTCACAGCACAGTTGAGCAGAAAGTACAGAGACTTCCCATGTACCCCTGCCCCCAACACACAAAGTCTCCCTGCTTATAAACATCCCCACCGGGGTGGTACATTTGTTACAACTGATGAACCTACACTGACATGTCATTATCACCCAAAGTCCATAGTTTACATGAGGGTTCACTCTTGGTGTTGCATATTCTATGGGTTCTGACAAGTATATAATGATGTGTATCCACTATTACAGTATCACACGGAATAGTTTCACTGCCCTAAACAGCCCCGGTGCTCCACTGACTAATTCCTCCCTCAGCTCTCATCTGCAGTCTTTTGAATTCTCTGTTCCCATCTCCATGTTCTGATGTGTCTTATGTGACTTCTAAGACCCAGAGAGTACACGAATGGTTACTGCACTGTTTCAGCAGCCAGATAAAAGGCTTGGTTGCCCAAAGCATTTTTTTTTCTCTTGCGTAGAAATCCTCCCCCTCTTTTCTAACTTCTTCTCTCAAACCTAGCAAAAACCTCCTCAGGAAGCGAGTAGGAGAAGGCTGAGAATTTCTGCAAGGTTGATAGCAGATGACCTGGGTCTTTACCTGATGAAAGTAGACTGGTCCGGGTCATAGAGGGCCATGAACAGCTCCGCGTCTTCCCCGATGTTGCAGACGAAGTTCTTGAAGTTCACGTAGAGGCCGTAGGTATGAACAGCACTGAAAATGGACTGGCCCCGCAAGTCCAGGTTCTGCATGATCGACTGAACACAGAGCAAAAGAAAGAAAAGCATCTCGGTTTCAGCAAACAGGAAACACTGGCAAAGAAGTCAGCCTGAAAATGGGGGGCAAATAGAATTACCACCCAAGGGGAGAAGCACTTACTGAGAAGAAAGTATATGTAAATGGACAAATAATCCAGTGAACAAAATATAATCATTATTATTTAGACGATCAAGACTATCCTGTATAGAGCCTTGAACGCAGTAATTCCATAAATGCTATCGAAAGGTGATAACTCAGTTTAGGAGTTTGAAGACTTTCTCCTCTCTTACAATGGCTCTGGATGAACTTCAGAGGCATGAAAACCATGATTCATTATCCTTCTATTTGGGAATTACTCTCATTGCAAAGGAGAGACTCCATTGGAAAGGCTTTGCCCTCAGGCATGGTTAGTCTTTATATTCTGAGACACAGTTAAATTTTATCACAACTATGTTAAAGATATAAAACCTACAAACGAAAGAAAATAAACAGAAACCTTTACTCATTAGAACAGAAAGACTGGAAGAATATATCCCAAAATACCAATATAGTTGGGCATTCACAATATAGGTAAATTTTTTCTCTTTTTCTATACCTTCTAATTTTTATTAATGTCCAATTACTAATTTCAAAAATCAAACATTTTATTTGTACATATTTAATTTACTTTGGAAATAGTAATATATGCACTAAATACAGAAGGTTACACAGTAAAAAGGCTCCTTTCCATCCAGCTCTCCTTCCCAGGGGCATCTATTAGCAATTTCTCATTTATCATTCCAGAATTAGTAAACACACAGGCAAGCACAGACATATGTATATTCTTTTTTGAAACACAAATAATAGTGTTTTATACATGTTGTTCTGCATCTGGCTCCTTTTTACTTAATAGATATCTCTGCAATCTTTCCATATCAGAACATACGTACAGCACCCTCATTCTTTTTGTTATGCTTTATTTTTAAAAAAAGGATCTGAATGATTTTCTAAACAACATTTCTATCGCTGTGGTCAATGGCTCCCTTTCTCTCATTTAAAACAAAAGCAAAAACGGAACCTCAGTGACCAAAATCTGTAAGTTTGAGGAAGGGTACCTTTTCTTCTTGGATCTTTTCCTCGATCCTTTTTGAGGCCACTTCGTGGGCCTTGAAGAGGGCAATGGTGCTTGTTTCATCCGGGTCCAAAATGTTTCCATTGTCATCCCGCACTACCAAATCTAACCCAAGCATTCTAGAAAGAAAGGAGTGGTCAGTGGCTCTCCTCATTAGAAACAGATGCTTTACTGAAGACGGTTCATGAAAAAACTCCTAAGAAAAGTTGGCGCTGGACAAGTCAAGAATAGCTCACTGGTTTTTCTTTCAATTTCTGCCTCCTCTCCATATCACAATGTTAGAAAAGTTGTGATAATGTTAACCAAACTCATATAAAGATATGCAAAGTCACTTGGTCTTTGGAACCTCAAGAGGAAAAGCAAAATTGGCACCAATTCTGACCAAATTCTTCTGACCAATGCCTCTTTCACTGACTCTTCTCCCATTCGGCATAGGAATTAAGAAAGATCAGTGCACAAATATTTGGGGGCTTGCCCTGCTTCCCTTAAAAGTACAGGCTTGCGGGACAGTACTTAATTCAAGAGTGTCTTAAAGGAGATGAGTGAAGTTAGTCCTGGCTGTCAGCATCTCCTAACTCATTTCAGAACATGGGCCCTGGTGTCAGTTAGACCAGGATTCGAGTCTCGGCTTTTATCCTTGCTAGCAAGGTGACTCTGGGTAATTTACTTACCTTTGAAAAGCCCTGATTTCCTCATCTATAAATATTCCACACTCTTCAGGGTTCTTGGGAGAATTTAATAAGATAATGCATGTAAAGCACGTAATACAATACCTAGCATGTACGGTTCACTCAATAAATCTTAGCTGTTATTGCAGCAGCTGGCACAAAAAACTCCTGGTTGTGTTAAGATGTAGTTCTGAGGACCGCACGGGAAAAGTCAGAGCTATAAGGTCTATGTATGGCACGGTCCTCACCATGGCTTTTATGCCCGATGTGCACAGAGAAGTAGAAAAAATGCTGCTTAGTTCCAAGAAGCTGGGGACTGTGGTGGAAACAGGATACTGCTATCTGAATGCCCAATGTACATTCCAGGCACCAGTAATTTGGGAGTAGGGGTGTCTAAACAGCAAGAAAACTCAGGGATAACAGGAAAATGCGCCAAATCTTTGGGAAGAAAACAAAAATGCCTAATTTCCTTCCTTCATGTTTTATAGCATCTCCATCAACTGATTTAATCTGGCAGGTTCCTTTCTATGGCAACCAGACCCACAGGCCACCCAGACTCATGAGCAATGAGCCTTGGTGGCTGCTCAGAGACTGGGCCACTGATGCACTGATGGAGCAGTGTAATTTCTTGAGCTGCTTCCAGGGGCTGGAATGGGAGAGCAGGCATGTTCTGCTGTTTGTGGGATGTTAACATCCTGTGCCAGAGATCAGGTCCCCAAGCCAATGCCCTACCGTGACAAGGCTTAAAAATACAGAGGCAGCATATGTATATGCAAGGGGGAGCTGCCTTCTCCCATCTTTGCTGATTTTTTTAACAGTCCTCCAGCACTACATGACTGGCGATGCAAACATTGTGATTATAGTTTTATATATGGACAAGCGATGAGGGAGGGAACTGTTCATTCTTAACCCTAAGAAGGGAGCATCAGACATGGAATCAAAAGCTTTGGGTTCAAACTTAAGGTATCCCACTTATTATTTATGTGACATGGAAGGAAATCGGTAAAGTTTAATTGATCTGCTTCTTTAACCATAAAATGGGAACAGTAGCCACCTCAAAGGGTTACAATTAGGTGACATATGTGAAGTGTACATAGGAAAGATTTCATGAACAATGGTTGACTCTGAATCTTGTACACTGTTTACTCCAGCTATTTCTGAATACAGTTGTCAAAGTCTACAACATTTAAATGAGTAGCACAATGGGCTGTATTTTAAAGGGTCTGGGAAGCATTTCCAAGAGTAGTGAGGTCAGAGAAATAGGGCAAAGGGGGAGGAAATAAATCACATGTGCACAAATTGAGGAAATTTAGAAAATGAGACTGTCAAATGAATCATCGACGAAAACCAACTGAGGAACCAACCCAGTCTTTTAAAAAGAGCTGATCAGGAGGGGTGATCCTAGGTCACCATAAATATTGAGGATTTGACTGAATTTTTCATTTTCTAAAAGATAGTAATATCTAGAACCTACATATCTGCCTGAGCTAAACAGAAGATTAATGAAGTGATTAACTCTTTAGAAGTTATTAGATACATAACCAAAAGGTTAAAAACATGTTTTACTATTTCGGCAAATCTGGTTTCCACGAACTGTATACAAGGTCCCAGTTAGGGGAAGATGGAGAGAGAGAAAATGAGTCTGATACTGATTTAAAATGCATTGTTAACAATAGAGAGATAGTGCCAGGTCTCTGAAAATGTTGGCTTCAAATGCTCAGTCCTTTTCAGTCTGTTTGGCAGTGGAGTCACTTAGATCCAAAACCCAGTCTCTCCGTTCCTCTGTCATCTCCTTGAGATCAGAGATCCAGCACAGGGTCTGGCCCATGAAGGGCCTGCCAATTTTTTTTTTTCAACAAAATTAAATGTTTTCTAAGGCAAAAGGAGAGCTGTACGCATCATACTTTGGCAACTCCAAGATCAAAAGCTTGTGGTGAGCTGTGTTCTTAGCATAAATGTCCATCTTTTTCCAAGTTCTCACTGAAAAGACATCTTTGGTTTACCTGTTCCCATGATCAATTTTGGCTGTGACCTTCTTCTTGAGCTCTGCCAATTCATCCTTGGGGAGTGTTCCAGACAGGATCTGTGACCGCCACTCAATCAGGCTGTATGTCATCTGCTGTAGCTGGCGGAAGAGC